GTGCGAGACTACGCATATGTGTTCCTAGAGGAGCTTCCTGGGATACTTCTGGAGCGACAAGTAGAGTTTAGGATCGACCTAGTCCCTGGTGTGGCTCCGATAGCCAAGGCATCGTATCGGTTGGCTCCTCCTGAGATGCACGAGTTGTCTACACATCTGCAAGAGCTATTAGACAAAGGATTCATTAGACCGAGTAGTTCACCCTGGGGAGCCCCAATTCTGTTTGTAAAGAAGAAGGACGGGTCGCATCGAATGTGTATAGATTATCTTGAGCTGAAAAAGGTAACGATGAAGAACCGTTACCCACTCCCGAGGATTGATGACCTATTTGACCAGCTTCACGGAGCATCTTGGTTCTCCAAGATTGATCTGCGTTCAGGATATCATCAGATGATGGTCAGAGAGGAGGATGTGCAGAAGACCGCGTTTCGGATGCGTTATGAACATTACGAGTCTGTGGTGATGCCCTTCGGGCTCACCAATGCTCCTGCCACGTTCATGGACGTCATGAATCACATGTGTAGACCGATGTTAGACCCGGTCTGTGATAGTGTTTATTGATGACATCTTGGTTTACTCCAAGATGCAGGAAGAGCACGAGGAGCATCTGCGAGAAGTTCTGGAGACTTTGAAGAGGGAGAACTTGTATGCTAAGTTCTCCAAGTGTAAGTTCTAGTTGCGCGAGGTGCAGTTCCTTGGACATCTTGTCAACCAGAATGGGATCTCAGTGGAACTGGCTAAAGTAGAGTCCGTGATGAGATGGGAAGTTCCGAAGTCTCCATCTGAGATTTGGAGTTTCCTGGGATGAGTGGGCTACTATCAAAGATTCATTCAGGATTTCTCCAAGATAGTCGTACCCTTGACGCGGATGACGAAGAAAGTCGTGGTCTTTCGTTGGGGGCCTGAGCAGCAGGCCACGTTCGAGACTCTTAGACAGAGATTGTGCGAGACACCAATCTTAGCCCTGCCAGAGGGCGTGGAGGATTTTGTTGTATACTGCGATGCGTCCATCTCAGGTTTGGGCGCAGTATTGATGCAGAGAGGGAATGTCATTGCCTACGCTTCGAGATAGCTAAAGCCTCATGAGTCGAACTACCCGACGTACGATTTAGAGTTGGGGGCGGTTGTCTTCGCCCTCAAGATTTGGCAGCATTACCTCTATGGAGTCCGGTGTACCATTTACACTGACCATAAGAGTTTGAGATACCTTATGGACCAGTCGAATCTGAACATGAGGCAGCGAAGGTGGTTGGATGTGCTAAAGGATTATGACTTTGAGATCCTTTATCACCCAGGGAAGGCCAACGTGGTGGCTGATGCACTTAGCCGCAAGGCAGCGCCGATCAGAGATATGTGTATGAGGATGACGGTAGTGACCCCACTGTTAGAACAGATACGGGAGGCTCGGCAGGAGGCTATGAAGGAGGAACATCAGAAGAGCGAGCATATAGTGGGTTAGGTTTCCTCCTTCAATTATGATAGCCGCAGATTATTGACACTACACCGTAGGGTGTGGGTACCGTATCACTAGGGTGTGCGCCAGGTTCTACTGGAGGAGGCGCACAAATCCCGATTCTCCATTCATCCCGGGGCGACAAAGATGTATAGGGATCTTCGTCTAGATTATTGGTGGCCCTACATGAAGCTGGATGTGGCATGGTACGTAGATCGATGCTTGACCTACAGGAAGGTCAAGGCCACACATCAGAGACCACACAACAAGATGCAGCCGTTGGATATCCAGCTTTGGAGTTCCAGGTTGGAGATATGGTCCTCCTGAAGGTGTCACCATGGAAGGGCATCATCCGATTCAGGAAGCGGGGCAAGCTGGGTCCCAGGTACATTGGACCTTATAGGGTTCTAGCCCGAGTGGGCAAGGTGGCGTACCGGCTAGATCTGCCAACCGAACTCAGTCAGATCCACAACACCTTCCACGTCTCGCAGCTGCGGAAATGCCTAGTGGATGACTCAACGGTGGTGCCTTTAGAGGATATTCAGGTTGATGACAGCCTGAATTACATTCAGCAGCCAGTAGCAATCCTCGACCGAAAGTCGAGGGATCTGAGGAACAAGAGGGTGGAGCTAGTGAAAGTGCAATGGCAACACCGGAAGGGTTCGGAGTGGACTTGGGAACCGGTAGAAGAGATGAGGGAGCACTATCCCGAGCTTTTCCAGGAGCGAGTGGTTGACTTCGAGGACGAAGTCTAAAATAAGTGGGAGAGATTTGTAGCACCTGGTTCCTGGTATGTATTTTTAATCTAAGTATTTTTGCTGGAACTCGGTGAGTTGTATGCCTGACTCGCCGAGTAAGGGTGAGATATTGAGCACGTTTAAGTTGGCGACAAGACGAGTCCATATCCTGGACTCAGCGAGTCCACCAAGCTGGAAGAAACCCTAATTTCAAGGGTTTGCACCCTATTTAAACCATGTTATACTCCCCCAAGCTAGTCTCCTTCACTCTCAGAGCATCCTATACCAAACCCTAACCCTCTCCTTGTGATTTGAGTGTTTGTGTGCTTGTTCTTTGAAGTTTGAAGAAGAGAAGGAAGGAAACACCAAAGGAGAAGGTGAAGAGCATGGATCTAGGACCTAATCTAGAGCTCATTGAGGTACAATTCGGATCTATTATGTTTCTATGAAGATTTTCTATTAGAAACCCCATTTAAGCCATCTTTATCCACCTCCAAGCTTAATAGTAGTATAGGGAACATAATGGGTTGAATAGCCACTGGGTCTATCCATAAATGAGCTCTAGAAGCTCAGATCTAATGTCTTTATGGAGCCATATTGCATGAAAACCCTAGATCTACTCTTTTAGTGCATTTTGAGCCCTAAAACCTTCATTGGTGTTTATTTACAAGTAAAGTTGGAAACTTTACGTGTTAATCAAGCCCTAAGAACCCAGATCTATGAATGGAATGAACTGGATTCAAGCAGAATCGAGTATATAGTGATTGCATGTATGCGACTCGGTGAGTCGTTCTTCAGACTCGGCAAGTCGAATCGCGAGTCCCTGATTTTTCCCCTTTTCGAGTATGCTGAGTAGGAACAATGAGCCATAAGTGAACTCAGTGAGTCAGAAGCTAGACTCATTAATGGAGGGACTCGGTGAGTCAATGCCCTAACTCGGCGAGTCCAAGGAAATTTTCTTGCCTCAACAATAGACTCGATGAGTTGTTCATACAACTTAGTGAGTCACAGACCAAAGCATTCATCAAATGAAGATGAACCCGACGAGTTGTTCATACAACTCGGCGAGTCGGATGAAGGACCATTGAATATCAGTTTAGAAAGAGAACTCTTCAAGTCAATGCATAACTCGACAAGTAGGGACGGGAGTGAGGACAATCGATTGGGTAGGAACTCGATGAGTTGGCGATCCAACTCGGCGAGTCGGTTCAACTGGAAGTTGACTATTGACCTTCACTTTTGACTTGGTCAGGGGTAAAATGGTCATTTTACCCTAAGGACAGTTAGCAGTGTTTGACTGAGTGTTTTGTGGGAATTGTAGCCAGACGACCTCCGAAACAGCAGCAACAGACAGACAGTTCCCGCACGGATCAACAGCTACTTCGAGGTGAGTTACCTTCCAGTAGTGGTGGGTCTAAGGCCACAATGCCAGCCCACCAGTAGGAGACATATGACATATGATTGTATTTGTGATATTATCTAGGTTGGCTACTACCTGATGTGTTATATGCTAGCATGATATGTTGTATGTCATAGTAATAGAGTTCGTTTGTTAGGACCGAAGGGTAGTCAGACATCCCAGATACGTCTGAGAATATGTGATGATATGTTTGCATGCTGGCTTGTTATGTTATATGCGATAAAGGTAGTAGGAGGGGACTGGTCCCCGAGTTCGGTTGTTAGGACCGAAGGGTAGTTCAGGCAGCCTAGATAGGTCTGATAATCTGTTATGATATGATATGTGATAGTATTAGTAGTAGGGGTGAAATAGTCCCCGAGGTTCGGTCGTTAGGACCGAAGGGTAGTCAGCACCCCAGAATGGCTTGACATGGGTAGTCAGCACCCCAGAATGGCTTGACATGGGTAGTCAGCACCCCAGAACGGCTTGACACGGATAGGACGGCACCCCAGAATGTCCGCATGGGTAGGTCAGCACCCCAGAATGGCCGTACCGGGCAGGTCGGGCACCCCAGAATTGCCTGGCAGTATGTATGTTATGTGATTTTATGGTATGTGGTACGATGTGGGACTCACTAAGCTTTGTGCTTACAGTTTTCAGTTTTGGTTTCAGGTACCTCTTCGTCGAAGGGGAAGGAGCTGGCGCGGTAGCGGCACATCATACACACACAACGTTTTCTGTATTTATGAGATTGTTCTAGGATTTATACTCTGACCTTGATTTCATGTTTTGGTTTTCAGACACTACATATGTTTATGAAATGAATTGATCATACAATGTTTATTTACAAATGTTTTTACAAAGTATTGATTTAAAAATGAAATTTTGGATGTGAAAAATGGGTCGTTACATGCTTAAGCCTTAAGAAGGAAATTAGGGTTTCCTCCAGTAACCCTAGCAGCCCTCAGCTATATAACGAATGCCTAGGCATAAGATTTTCAGCCAATGCTTGCTTCCAAAGAACCCTAACCGAAATTCTAAGAGCTTCCTCCTCTCTTCTTCTAATCTTCTTGCTAGTGGTGTTTATGAGCCATTAGAGGTGCAACATTTGAGGCACTAAGCTTTGAGGAGTCAAGGATCTACAAGGAGTTCTTGTTATTACTACACAACAAGCAAGGTAAACTCAAAACCCTTTTGTTTTATGATTTTTGAAAATTATATGCTAGATCTAAAGTGTATTGATTTGGTATTCAATTGCATGTTCAACTAGTGAAAAACTTAGATCCAAAGCAATTAGGGTTGCATGATCACATAGGATGTTGTTATGCTAATAACCCAACAGTGCCTGGGTAGGGGATAACTTGGGAGTTTCTCCTTTCCCAGCACACGATGGCATACAAGTGTGGCTGTCATGGTTTCCCCCACCACTATCGAGGCCTTGGAGCTTCTCTCGAGCTCCCATCCTTCTAACAGCCTCTTATACGCGACTGCTCAGGTTGGTTCATATATGGTTGCGACTGCATCTCGCCTCCGCCAAGGCAATTCCAGTTCTAGCAAGCTCGTTCAGACCAGGGCTTAGCAGGATGATTTGAGGTCCAAGTTACTTGCGCTAGAAGTGGAGAAGTGTTCGTCCGAGGAGAACTATAATCTCCTGGTGGGGGAGATGGCATCTCTGGAGGATAAGGTCATTGCTTTGGATGGATCAGTGGAGCACTTATCCCAGCGTATCGAGGTTTTGGTAGAAGAGAAGCAAGCGTTTGAGGACTGGGTGGATCACGCTAACAAGAAGTTGGGGATGAGGTAGCGAAGAGGAAGAGCACGGAGGATGATCTAGGGTGGTTGCTTCAGAAAGGAATTGCTCGTGTGGTGGACAAGGTGGTTGAATGTTTCGAGTTTGTAATAGGAGTGAATCAGATGAAGAGGACATGCATGGTCGCTGGTGTAGAAAATGGAAAGCAGGAGGTCCGGGAACAGGTCATTGCTGGGAAGTTTGTTCCTGGGGAGGCAGCTGCTACCACGAAGCATATTCAGGCAATGCATGTTGTTGTGAAGGCGTTTATGGAGATAGACTTCGCCTCCTACCTCCACCTATGCGAGCTTGACATGGCAGGCCTTTGGCAGTTGTGTGATGACTCTGATGCCGAGGATAGTTTGGTCGAAGGCGGCTCTTCTCATGCTGGTGCTTCCCCTGGTAATTGATGGCTTTCATTTTCTCTTTGGATATTTCAAAACAATGTCTATATATTTTTTGGTATTTATGTTTCACTGCTTTTCTTTGGCCCTACGTGGTCTTTGTGCAAATCATGGGGGTTGTCCGGGTAGAAAATTTATCTTGTGTATGTTAAGTTCTCTTTCTTTTGGTTTCTTACACTATCATTTTGTGTTATCCTTGTGTTTGACGATTTATGTTGGCCATATTTGGATCGAATTCTTCCTAAAGGCGAGTGTTGACCTTTTTAGGGATGGTTGTTATTTTCTTTGACGAGTTTTGATGATCCAAGGCCTCTGAGACTGTTGTTTGTCCTTTGGCCCGACCTCATAGTCTGAGGCTCTGGCTGGCTTTTAGGTGCGGGCCCTAGTTGGCCTACTTCAATTGAATGTCCCTTTTTTTAGCTAAAGGACTTTGTTTTGGGGTCTTTTGCTGTACCCCAGGCCAAGGAGTGTTGCACTCCGACCTTTGTTATCTAAAGCAAACCGAGATCGTCACCTCGAAGTCTAGGAATTTATATGTTTTGATGGAAAGGTTATGATCCTTTAAAGCCTCTTGTTTGCCATGGTCAGGAGTTGTGGATCTATTGACCTTGTTGACATGTTTGTTAGGGGGAAATTATGAGCCCTTGAGGCTTATAACAGTGTTTTCATCCATGATTTTATTGTTATGCGGCACGGGTGATCAACCCGTTTTTGTTTGCCATTTGTACGAAAGTATATTGATATTTGTTCGTTCTAAATTTTCATTGCATATATATTTTGTATGATGTCTTAGAGACACCTACATCATTTAGGTAGATATCGGGGGTTTGATAGCTGATGCTATCCAACTTCTAGGTCTTGCACTAGCTAGTGGGGTTGTCATCATCCGGTGAGAGTTTGATCACATATCCTCTTCTCTTGATTCCTTCCAAGCTAGGACCATTGGCTTGGTTCCTAGGGCTCCCGGGTTATTGGGATGAGTTCTTATTCTTCTTGGTCCTTCTTGCTCGGTGCCTTTCTTGTGCTTACAAGTTCTCTGATGTTTGCGTTCACCCGACTGGCTGTTTCTAGGGCAATCGTCCTTCGGAAGATGATTTTCAATCTCTTCCATTCTCCAACGCCGGTTTTTTGGTTAGTATCTTTGGGAGGTTTCATGCCATCTGGTGTTGCGTTGTTGCTATTGATTCTATTTTTCGTGGGGTTTTGGACCAAGTGCAGTCTTGGGGAAAGATTCTGCCAATTTCAGGCTTTTGCCATTGTTTGCAGCCTCCTATCTGTATCTTCTGTTACAGGGTAATTCTCTATCTTTCCCTCCTCAACTTTTGCAAGCCCTTGGTTTTGTTTTCTATCAGGCTTCTTCTTCGTACTTTGTGTCTTCACTTCGTGGAGGTGCGTGGGTATTCTTAATGGTACCCAACCCTTCTTGGTGTTCATACTAACAATACGCGATGTATATGGGCTATAGTCAATGGTAGGTTTATGGTGCTAAGTGGCCATAATTTGTGTCCCGAGAAGCGAACGAGTGGTGCCTGGGTTGGCGGTTTCAGGTTCCTTCTCTAACGTGGCGGGAGTTGCTTGAAACAGTGTTCGTAAATAATATCGATGTTGCTACCTTCGTCGACTAAGGCTTGCCAACCATGGCAGGGATTATGATTGGATTTATTGGGTTCCAGTCGGGCACCCGCGAGTCTGATGGCGAGAAACTGATGTTTAGAGTGTTTCCGGGAGGGGTCGCGTGGCCTTTGGCTGGCCGTTGGTACTTGTCTCGATTCTTGGGCCTGGTTGTCATGAAAATATCCTCTTTTTTGATTGGTTGTTTTCATGCTTCCTTGCGGGTTCTCCCATATTTTTGGTCAGCTTCGAACTTTGACCGTAGCGTCCTTGCTATTTTTGTTAGGTCTCCTTTCAACTGCTTGTCCGCTACTTCTCTTTTGAGTATCGCGCAATCTCCGGTGTTGTGTGTTTTGCTTTTGTGGTATTCGCAATATTTTGTTTTTCCTTCTCCGTCCGTTGTGGGGTTTTTCCTACAGCGTGCACTTCCGACTTGTGGCTCTTCAGATCATCCTTGACGAACGGGCCGAATCTGCAGTAGGAATGACTTGAATGTTTGCTCTGTTTGTTGTGGGTTCCATCGTTGCATTCTTTATGGCTGTGGCAGGAGTAGGAGTCGGCTGATTCTTGTTTGAGGTAGGTGTTCGCTACGGCCTTTGAATTTGCGTGTTTGCTTTCTTCTCCTTCGACCTATCGAAGGTATTTCTTGACCCTCTATTTAAGCGCATCGTTGGATTTTGGTACTGTGCCTTGCTTTTTTCTAGACAGGGGGCTTGGGAGTAGCCCCTGGGCAAAGGCGCCTATAACTAAGAATTCTTCATGGCTTGGGACACTTAAAGTTGCTAAGGTGAACCGGGCATAATATGCTCGGATGGACTCTCCCTCCTTCTGCTTTCATGCCATGATCAAGTTAGCATCTCCTTTGAATTTTCTCAACTGCATGAAATTGTGTAGGAATGGATGTCTCAACTGCTCGAAGTTGGAGATACTTCCTGGGCGTAACGCTTGAACCACTTGTTGGCATTTCCTGATAGTTTGATCGGGAAGTAGGTGCAGGTGAACCTCTTGTCCATCCGGAGCGATGTCATCGTCTATTCATAGGTATCTATGTGTTCTTCGAGATCTGTTGTGTCGTTGTATTTTGGGATATCTGGGATCATGAAAGAATGCGATATTTCTTATTGCATGAGCTCCTGGAAAAATCCCAAGCTAATGCTTGTTACTGAGTCGTACATGTGTAGATATGCAGGTGCTCCACCAGCCATTGCGTGTTGCATGTGATATGGGTAGGCATACCCTTGACCATATTCATAATGGTATTTGTGGTTGTACCTCGACGTTTGTGGCACATACACCTCCTATGTGGGATATGCATGCACTAGTTGATTTGACTGTGAGCTCGAATCCATTGGTCCCATGGTGCGTGAGTACATTCCCTGAACCAATGTGCCTTGATTGTTGTTGTTTTGCGGTTGTGTTGTGGGGTACATGCCTCGGTAGTAGTAGGAGTATGGATTGAACGTTGGTTGTTGTGCGAATAGAAGGACACGTGATATGGCGGCCATTAGCAGGTGACTCGCAAGTATTGGTTATATGGAGGATGTGATAGTGCTCGGGTAACAGCTGTTGGTCCCTGCTTGTCGTGTGGATGGCTACTGAAGATTTGTTGGCTGTGATTGTGTGGTCGGTGCGCGTTGGGGCGTCGTGGTGGTCGTCGTGGCCGGATGTGCAGTTATGGCGGGTGTCCGTCATCGTAAACTAGCGATGAATTCTGTTGGGGAGCCGACTGGCGGTGTTGTCAGTGTTTGTGCTAGCGGTTATCCTTCCAATGTCGATGGACCGCTCCCGTTGAGGGACTGCATTTGTCGAACCAAGCTAGTGGTATCACCTTCTTGCCACTGTGGTCCTTTGTCTGTCATTTCCGACGCCTGGTGTTGCTGAGTGGGTTTTATAGGATTGAGTACAAGCCCGGGTTGCGCCAACTATTGTGATAAGTCACCCGCTTAACTCTGTCTTTCTGAGGGCATGAACGAAGAGCATGTGGATCACAACAAAGAAGATAACACTGTCAGTCTTCGTCTAGGAGGTTGTCCCGGAACGAGGCTCTGATGATCAAGTTAGTGAGGTTTATGAGAGAGAGAGAGAGAGAGAGAGAATGAGATTGAGAGAGTGAGAGAGAGAGAGAGAGAGGGTTAAAATTGTAATAAGAGTGTTGAAGAGTCCAGCTCCTTCTCCTGGGGGAGAAGGGTGCCTTTTAATCTTATACCTGTGGATAGGGGAATAGATCCCTGACAATATCTTTTACCTTTTCAGGTTTGGTAAGGGATGAAGGCTTTTTGGTTAGAGGATCGTGTTCTGTGAGTGGTTGTTCGCTATTGGTACTGGCTTTGTCAGAAGCAGCGTCCAGAGCATTAAACCTGTCACTCTGGGGTTCTTGGTACTGTTTTGTCTTCAATGTTAGCCTTGGCGCTTGGGCACCAAGGAACGGATACGGGGTCTCAAAGACGAGGGCGGAGGCCCGACGTTAGTCACATGTTGCTACTTGGCCGATCCGTATGTTGGCCTAGTGATTTCGTTATCTTTGCTGGATTCCCGGTGTGATACGTTATATATATATATATATATATATATATATAATATATATATATATATATATATATTATATATATATATATATATATATATATATATATATATAAAATTTTTCACAATTGGTCCTTTTGCTTTTCAAAAAGTGGTAGGTTGAGGACAAATTTAAAAAAATGCTTCCAACGATGAATCTATGGTCTCATAAAGTTGAAACTTTGGTTCTTTTTTTATCATATCATTTGTCAATATGGGTTATATATATATATATATATATATATATATATATATATATATATATATATATATATATATATATATATATATATATATATATAGGTTCAGGTTCTTTTGAGATCATTTTAATTTTGTGAGACCGTGAGACCAAATCTAAAAATAATTTTAAAATGCAAATAAATAGAAAAATCCAAAAATTCTTTTTTAAATATTATTTTCGGAACTTGAATTAACTAAAAAAATATAAAAATATATAAAAAAAATAAAAAAAAATTCCGTTTTTTTTTTTTTTGAAAAATACGTGAAATATTCTAAATAGAATATTACACTGACATATTCTAAAAAATAATTTTAAAATGCAAAATAAATGGAAAAATCTAAAAATTCTTTTTTTAAATATTATTTTCGGAACTTGAATTAACTAAAAAAAATACAAAAAAAATAAAAAAAAAATTCTATTTTTTTGAAAAATACGTGAAATATTCTAAATAGAATATTACACTATACATATTCTAAAAATAATTTTAAAATGCAAAATAAATAGAAAAATCAAAAAAATTCTTTTTTTAAATATTATTTTCGGAACATGAATTAACTAAAAAAAATAAAATAAAAATAAAAAAAAATAAAAAAATGTGTCTCACGGTCTCACAAAATATAGGTGGTCTCAAATGAACCTAACCCTATATATATATATATATATATATATATATATATATATATATATATATATATATATATATATATATATATATATATATATATATATATATATATATATATATATATATATATATATATCAAATGACAAGTTTTCCTCTTTATAAAACCCAACACACACTCACTATTTTACTCTCTTATTTTCTTGCCTTATGAACAATTTTGCTAACTTTGCAACGACATAACCCATCAGCGATGGCAACTCAACCCTACCACCTTACAAGTGTAGATGATTTTACTGGATTTCGATTTTTTCTGAGGTCCAAACATAATCACCATTGATAATTGAAGATGATAGCGATGAAGTTCTTCATGAAATTGAAGCCCAATCTAAAGTATGTGACATTATGGCAAATTCGGCAGAAAAATCCATAATATTCACTTGTGGTAGTTGGTGATGGGGTGGTGCATGGTATTTAAAAACATATCTTTAAAACATGGTCGATATAGGGCATATTGGTCCTTTTTAAAACAATAACAACCATATTGGTTTCAGGTTTTAATTGATAATACTGAATCAAATTGATTTACGAATAATTATACATTACTCTTAAATTTGAGTCTCCCATCTCATATCCTGACATCCTTCATCTTCATGTTTATTTAGCTCACAAATTTAATTCCCACGTCACTACGAGATAGAAACATCTGTGATCTTCATGTTTTATATAATGTTCCTCGTGTTTTTAAAAAGACTTCGGGTGATTTAAAATCATTAAACCCAAGAACCGAAAACCCAAATGACATCAATTTCATTTACACTTAAAATTGAAAATTCCATAAGAAGTTAAAAACTCAAACCCCACATGTTAAAAGCGAAAACACATATGTTGAAAAAAAATCAAAATAATAATAATAATAATAATAATAAACCACCCATAAACCCGAAAAAACGACCTCATTAGGTTAGATAACCCAAAAACCAAACTTATTAGTTTGGGTTCGATTCTAACTAAAAAAACCAACTCAAACTAGCTCATACGCTATCTTATCATAATGTTAGGTACGCCCCACGATACTATATGGTGGGAGTATAGTTGATGCGTTATATTTTTATGGGGAAATGATTTACTAGGGTAATGAACTTTCGCTGTCTTTTACTTTTAGTCGCTTTTTTTATATACTATTTACCATTGAACCTGTTGTTGGTGTTCAAAAAAATACCATTATTACCTAGTATTGAAGGTTTTTGACAAGTATGTTATTCCGGTCGTCTTTTTCGGCGAGTTTCCAACCACCATCAGTTTTCTCCGGCGAGCTTCCGGCCACCATCAGTTTTCTCCGGCAAGTTTTCGGCCACCATAAGTGTTGAAAAAATATATCATTTACTTCTTTTTGTGTTCCTGAGTTCTAGAAACAAATACATACAAGAAATCTATAACATATTCAGTTTTTATTTCACACACAAATCGATTTCCACCATTTCAACAGATCTGGGCTTCTTAGATCCTACACACACATACGTGCACACACACACACATGTTTGTTTGTCAAATTCGATTTCAAACACATCAGTCATCAGGTTCGATTTGTAGGTTGCATTTTCCAAGCTTTAATTTTAAACACATCAAATTCGAATTTCTTGTTACGTTTTATAGGCTTCTCAGATTCGGCGAGTTCTTTGCATTTCAGGTTCTATCTGTAGGTTGTGCACCAACTTTGATTTTTAATTTCTAGGGTTTATGAAATCGTTCCAAGAACAAGAACACAAACCTAGGGTTTATGAAATCGATTTCCACCATTTCAATAGATCTAGGCTTCTTAGATCCTATACACACATACCTGCACACGCATGTTTGTTTTTCATCTGATCTGGTTAGATTCCTTCAAAAATTTCTTTATTTGATCATTTCAAGAACAAAAACTAAGAACACATAGATTTGACGGAAAATTCATATTTTCACAAAAAAAAAAAAAAATACTTTTTGGTCGGAAAGTTCAACTTGACTTGCTATACCTACAATATCCGGTTACAATGGTATTTTGTGAACATCAAAAACATGTTAAATGGTAAATTGTGGACAAAACAAAAAAGGAAAATGACTAAAAATAAACAAAAACGATAGTTTGTTACTCTCCAAAGTCATTTTCTTTATTTTTTTAGTATTTCCAAAAATATATAATATAGATGGTGTTAAATGGAACTCATGTACTCATGTATGTATATTGTATAGTGGGAGTATAGCTAATGGCGCTATATTTTTATTAGTAGGGTCCGATTCCGGTGAAACTCAAAAAATAGCGAGGACTGCGATGACAAATTTCCACCATCCATTTCGTCAACGACACAAATGTCAAACCTAAATATTTGGTCGTGGTACGTTCGCATTCAACTCGCGTCCATGGTAACTAATATGGACTCAATGATTTAATCACGTGTGACGAACGTCCATAAAACGTCATTTAAATGGGTTTTATTTTCGTTTTTTTTTTAATTTTTTTTTATTATTTTTTTTTATTTTAAAAAAATTAAAAAATATTTTTAAATAAATATATGCTCGGTTTTAACATTTTTTTTTCATTTTTTATATATATTTTTTTGTTTTTTATATTTTTTAAATATCTTTACTAAATACTTGAAGATACCAGTGTGTTTCTTTATTTTTATTTTATTATTATTATTTTTAAACTAAATATGGTTTTGAGTTCTTAATGTTGAACAATTATAAAATTTTAAATAAGAAGAATATTAAAGATCATAATATTTTTCGTTCATACTTTTTTTGTATCATATTATTTTTGGATTATAAAATTTTGAATCAAATTATTTTGAATCATAGTATTTTAAATCAAATCATTTTTAAATTATGTGATTTTGGATCAATAATATATTTAATTAAATAAAGTTTTCGTTCAAAAAAATTTATTGGTCATTATATATTTTGAATCATTAATTTTGAATCATAAAATATATATAATTAAGATTATAAAATATTGAAGTCTAAATACTTTTATATCATAACAAATAAAGGATCATAAACAAATTGAATCAACAGTTTTTTTTTTTTTTTTTTGAATCCTAAATATTTTGAATCATCACATTTTGAATAATATTATGTTCAATTTAAAAAAAAAATATCCTAAAATTAAAAATAAATACTTCAAAAACTTACTTTACTTTTTTTTTTTACAAAGTTACTAATATATTAAGTAGAAATATCTTTTAAATTTTTTTGATTTTTGGAGAGTTTTTTTATAGGTTTTTTAATTTAAAAAAAAAACATTTTTTTTTTCAAATTTTCATCATTGTACTCATCTTGTAGAAAAATTAAATTTTAAGAACTTTTAGTTTTTTTAGATTTTTTTTTTAAAAAAAATATAGCTAAAAAATGAAGTAGGTGGAAAAAACTCACTAATTGAGGGCTTAGTGGGAGAGAGAGAAAAAAAACAAAGAAGGG